TTTTTAGAATCACTTTTAGGAAAAATGATATAAAGCTATTGTCACGACCATTTGTCAAAGTTGTTAACTATTTTGTAAAGCTCCGTTTGTTAGAACTTAACTAAGCTGTTTATATTAATCTTGGTTGCTAAACATATTTGCTATAACACAAAAATATCAGCTAATTCTAGAATTCATTTTTTCAAAGGGTGTCCCTTATTTTTCAAAAGATCAACATTGAAAATGCATTTTCCACAATTGTACTTCTTTTTCGGCTGAGATGTTTTAGCTATCATTTGAGCCGTGTCATGACATAACCAACATAATGCGTTTGCGACCAGCATGGATCCAGACCAGCCTGCGCATCCGCGCAGTCTGATCAGGATCGATGCTGTTCGCTTACAAACAGTATTACAAGTAGAGAAACTGATAGCAAACAGCATGGATCCTGATCAGACTGCGCCGATGAGCAGGCTGGTCTGGATCCATGCTAGTCGCAAACGCACTATGTTGGTTTTGTCATGACACGGCTCATTTCTTTTAAGTACAAAAACATTTAAAGGTAACTTTAAACTTGTAAAACTTGTTCGCTATGAAAACGGTAACACATATCGATGTATACAAATTGATAATCTCCTGTATGTTTTTACATTTATGTATTTTAATAGTTTGAATATGTTAAATTTATATTGTTCCTTATTGAGGGCCTCATGGAAGATTGATATGTTTGTTCAAATGAGTTCTCTCGTTAAATAAAGTCTTAATTATTATTATTATCACCATTATTATTATTATTATTATTATTATTATTATTATTATTATTATTATTATATAGAAAATTGTCAATTTTTAATTTTTAAAAAAAAATCAAATCAAATCAAAGATACTCCCTTTTAACTTACGATATACCAAGTTTTATATTTTCTGCTCAGGTTGTGGTGTTTTCAATGAATAATTGTTTCAATACTGTCAAACATTAATAAATGTTTTGAATATTTGCATGTTTATGGATCATGACAGCTAAAGTCTGAAGTCAATTGCAGGTAGGCCATATAAACGCTATTGCAACATTTTTTTTACTTCGGTTAACTATCCAGCATTGCAAAAGTATTGTTGTAGTTTTAGCAACGCACCTGGTTAAGGTTTGATTTAATGATTGATTTTGTATGAGAATTGAGACCTCATTGTTGTCATTATTTATTACTATAAATCTGTTGGGGCTAGACTGTGCATCAGTCTGTGAGATTTTAGTGTGGTAACTCTGTCAACAGGTACCTGCAATTGTTGTGTTTAGGGAACTCAATCATTGGTTACCATCATAAATATTCCAGGAATCAGTCTGTTTGTTTCTGGTACAGTTACTTGATCAACACTTGTCGTCATAAATATAGAAGGCTTAAATTTGTCAATTAACACTAAGGTAACCTCCAAATATGGAGAGTCAAGATATTTCATATAAATACTGGGACAAGATTTTCTAGGGGCAGGCTAGATTGAAGATTGAAGAACAAGATTCAAAATGCAAGAGTAAGATTGTAAGAGCTAGAGTCAAGATTCAGGATTCGAGATCGAAGTTTCAAGAATGAGATCTTAAGAGTTAGATATAAAATTCTCAGTGACTTATCAACCATGTGTGAGGAAGAAAAACTCTGTAACTTTAAATATTAATTGTTGATTAGAACTTTAGGACACTTTCAAATAAATAAATGGTGAAATGAAACGGAAAACAGTTATTGTTTATTTTATGCAAATATGTGAAATTATGGAACTAGTAGAAATTATAAATTACAAGAGAGAAGAATTTATAACAGTATTCCATGAGGACATTTCGATTTATTTTCTTAAAATATTTACTGAATAGTCCTGTTAAAACACCAGACATTATAGATTATTTTATTATGAAGATGACGTGCGTGTTTATACATTTACTGAAACTGTTACCATACACTTGTAAAATGATAGCAGGTGAAAACGAAATTTGCTACCTATTGCGTGTATTGTGTCTCCATTACACAAGAACTAAATGTCTTTAAAATTATATTCTTAGTGAAAATAAATCATAAGAAATCGTCACGCGGCGTTTTAAAGTAAAACTGAAAGAAAATAATGCCATTTCAAAATATAGAATTACCTCACCCATTTTTATTGAGCGAAATGGTTCAAATGAAAGCGTTGCAACGCTTTAATTCAAATCGCGCTAAGAATCACACACATGCGCGCCTGCAACGCACGGACGCACAAACACATAATCGATATTCAATTTAAGTTTGAGTATGTTTCTCTATAATCGTTGCATTAATAGAAAGTTTCTTTACAATATTTACTTTTTAAAGATGTCACCATATTCGTTTCTTTATGTTTGTAATTGCACATGAGTCTAAGAATAGAGACTTAAATGAGGAATCACCATCAGTCCTGAGACGACAAGGATGTTTCACTAGACTGTGTTATTAGTGGTCCCGTTAAAAGGAATTATATCTACATCTTTAGGCTTTTGTGTGTGTGTCTATTTAAAATAATAACTCGGAAAATTACTTTATATTATATAGTTTATATCAAATGATATATGTATTTTTATGATAATGACTGACGACGTCTAAGTTGCTTTGTTATAGAGAGATTAAAATACAATAATATCCGAAGATGCATATGTTTCTTATTATTTTTGTATGCGTAGGTATGTATTAAACATTCACTGCAACAGGTCCCCTTTCTTACAGACTTCTTTTGCTATAATTATCAGATTATATAAATGGGTGTGCATGTTTAATGCACATAATAAGATAACAATGGTAAAGAGACATGCAGACTCACTTATAGACACATTTATTGTCGATTTTAAACAAGCAACTATAAAATTATCATGCTCTTTAAGATAACCTGCATCTGAGAACTTTAGTTTTTCACATGTTTCGAGGGGAAAATTGGAAAAGCTGTCGAATAAAACATTAACTTGACCGGACTTTAGCAAGGTGGATATTTGTAGGATAAGGTTCAACGAGATTAGTCAGCATTAAAGTGTTATATAAAATATAGATCATAGTTCGGCTCCAAGTTACTCCTGCTTATGAACTAGTTAACAAAAGACTTTTTGTCTCAATAGGTCATTCTTGCAGATACTGTGACGGGTTAGTGTAAGGTAAAAACCTTCGTCGTTATAGAATAGTCGGTTAATGTTGATGACAGATCGAGTTCACCTTAAATATAATTGAAATACTATTTGTTTGAAAGTCGGCCATTGTGTTTCACATACTGTATGAGAACCACCGAGAATTTCGGTTGTGTACTGTGGTACGCTGAAATTACTAAATTGATGACACGTATTAATCGGGTTAATCTGCAGAAAATATCAATGTCGAAATACTCAAAATTCATCTATATTTGTCATTTAAGGAAATAAATAAATGTAATGCAAAAGTATACCATTGAAAATTTAGTAAAAGGTACAAATTATAAAGAACCATACGTAAAAATTTCTGTCGCATGTAGACGTTTTATATGCTTAATCATTAAGCGGTCAGTCAACCACCAAATCATATCAAAATCCGCTGTCAAATGCTAAAATAATGCAAGGGTTGATCAGACACATTTAATTCCGTAGAGTAAATTTTATAGTTTTATGACAATAAAGTCACTCACATCTACACATTGAAGATAAAATGTTCTAATAAAGCACAGAATTGCTAACAATGATAAGATTATAATAAGGTGTTCGCGCGATACTGCAAATTATCGAGCATTCGTAATGTTAAAGATATTTATTTAGTCTTTCTTTTAAGTCTCATCATTGTACAATTCCTAACATTACACATATCCATGCTAAAGTAGCATAGCCGCTCTAAAGTAGCATAACCATTCTGAAGTGGAATTGTAAGAGGGTAAGAAGTATAATGTCCAGGTTTTAACATTTTTAGACAATGTCATAATCTTTAAAATAAAGGTTAGATATTTGTTGCAGATCCCGGCAGCCAATTATTACATTATCAGCGATGACTGTTACTAGTTAGTTAAAAGAAAAGAATAAAATTGGACATTATTTGAAAATAAAATGCACTACATGTACTCGTGTAAAATATGTTTTATACTGAGGGAGGAAAACTGGAATTAAATATTAATAACGGACTGCAGTTCCAATTATAAAGCTATTTTAAGGATGGAAACTATGAAGAATTGTAATTTTAAAGATTTCCCCTTTTTAGCCCGATAATGTTACATACATGAAGTGATTGTGAAATATTCAATGAATACTGCCTATCCTTTACTGATAAAAATGTATACATCGGTTAAGTTAAGAAAAGAAGGAGATCGAAACATTATTAACTCGTTTAATAGAAAAACAGTTGTTTTGTTTTATGCAAAAGGAATAATAAAATAGTCAAATTGTGAATAGTTGATGTTTCTGAATGTTATTAGCGTTGTGTTGCTCCAAAAACAAATCTATAAACTTATACAGGTTTAAATAAAACTAGAAATGGTTAAATGGTTTGAATGAATTAATTTCTTCCTTGTTTTTTTTTTCCTTTCATTTCTCACGTTCAACATTTTAAAAATCGCCGAATCAATAATGCATCAGATAACCAATCCCTTTATCTTCAACTTCTCAACATATGAGCAGAGAGAGGAAGAAATACATTCGGGGCTGGTAGATGTAGATTTAATTAACATCACCAGATGATACGATATATTAAGTATGAAATTGATAAAACTCACTTCAGATGATAAAAAACGTCACAAGAAAACATCTGACCTACAAACTGTAATTTCTTAAAATAGATAAATGAACAAATGGGAAAATTGCCGACTTGGCTATATAGCAAGGATCCGGTTGCAAGACGTGCCTAAACGTATTGCTCGGGCATAAACAACTAAATAAAGTAACGTTAAACAGACACTCCGATGAATGGGCGGAGTTTAACGTTAAAATATAATGTAGTATTAAGACATTGGTTGGTTAAAATTAGTTGAGCGAAACATTTACATTCAAGTCGATATCGCACGGCGTATATATAGTTGATGCAACCCGTATGTTTATCAAAGAATTATTTAAGAAGAAAGAGAACCGAATATCGCTTGAAAATAAACTCAACTCTAAAGTTATACAAATATTTTAATTAAGTGCATCTATTAAAGCAAATAACTGAAAACATTGAAGGACAATTTAACAATGATTGGAGAATTTGTAATCAAAGGAAACACGTGCAATGTTGTTTTTGCAAATAGGAGGCTGACAATCACAGGCTTAAAAAGTGATGAAAAATGTATGCACATGAAATTTGTTTATAATTCAACGTTTACCTTATTAGTCTTATTTTGTTGGTGGCGTAAAAATCTTTAAACCTGTAATCTATTTTATGCTTCAATACAAACAATCTTTATTTATTTCATATTAAACTGTTTATTTCATTGTAAACAATATTGTTTGAAAAATGTCTGTTTCCATGAAAGGAAATTATACATTATATTCCGGAATGTTAAATATATAGTTGCTGTTTCCTGATAAAGTATTGTTTTATTTAAAATGTTTCAGGTAATATACTAGTCAAGGACATTTTATCTGTGGAGTATATTGAATGTAGCCGGCCGTCCGTCCGTCTGTATTACGTGGTTCCATATACTAACAAACGCTTGCGGATGCAAGTGTGTGATTTGACTGGAAATGAAAGTATTTGCAATTGTTTAGTGCAGGAAATTAAAGAAGATCTGAATGGTAAGTGTTGTTGTTTCTTTTTTAAATAAAAGTTTTGCAAACAAAATCTATTATGTAAACGCGATGCTATGAAAATAATGTTAAATTTCTTCCGGGGATAATCAGTATATGTCTTCTTTTAGTTTTTTTTATCATTTCAGAAGATATTTAATAAGTGCTGAGCATACAAAAATATTCATTTTATCTAATGAGAGTCTATTGTATATGGTTTATCAGTAGATAACTGACTACGGTCAAAAACTGGTTATATTTCTTTTAAAAAAATGTAAGAAACGTTCTTTCATAAATTATCTCAAGTTAAGATAACACAGTGAAATATATGCTGTAAGAAAACATTCCCTTTAAATCGTTATATTTCATATTCAAATTTGACCTACTTCGTTAATATGTGTTTTTTATGAATGATCGTTTTACTAAATATAGATTTTGTATTTTCCTAAAATTATAGCGTTAACTAGACCACGACGGCTATTGGTATTTGTCAATCCCAAGTCCGGACATAAAAAAGGAGTTAAGATATATTCTTCTAGAGTCGCTCCACTCCTTCAACTTTGTGGAATTCATACAGAAGTTATAGGTAAGTTCATTCTAAACATTATTCCAAGGTCAAAGTGAGTATTCATATGGCAACATTCGAAATATAAATGACGAAACGTTACCTAAAATAGCGATGCTTACATTTTGAACTACTTTATTTCAACTTCATCTACATAATATTAATATAAGATTGTAAAGTATGATGAAATATTACAAGTACATGTAGCTCTGTTATCAACTTATCGCTATCATGTGATGAAATGTTTATTTAATGAATATGTTTATATCAACAAACTTCTTTCAGTCTTTTATTCTTATTAGATACAATACTGAGTTTATCTCTTTTTTTTATAGTTACCGAACGAGCTGGCCAGCCGAAAGAGCTTCTTGCAGAATGCGATCTTTCACTTATCCACGGGTATGTATGCCTTCTGCACAGCAAAGCTTACTTTCTGTAAAAATTAAGCAGTTATGCCATTTTCACATTTTCTCCAACTATATTCTTATATCACTTCAACCGCATATGCACTACATTTAAAAAAAATAAAAATATACTTTTGAAATATACTTTTGAAAATTCATTTTTATAATTATATATAAAGTGGGGGTATTTTTTGATTATAACGGCTTCATTTGTATATGTAAAACATATTTTTTACAGTATGATGTTTATATTTTACAGAATCGTTTCTGTAGGTGGTGATGGGATGTTTTCAGAATGTGTGAACGGTTTATTGGCCAGACTTCAGTCAGATTCAGACATTGATATGAATGATCCAGATTCAGAAATTGTTGCCTCTAAAATACCAATAGGAATAGTACCGGCAGGTAATGTAGTTCATTTAAATTTTCTAATCTAGAAGTCGCAGCTGATCTTGTATTTTCTGATTTGAAGTACGGATTAAAGAGAGATTAGTTGTAATAATAAGTTTAATAAAGCAGTTTAATAAAAATAACAAGGCCTATTTTTGTAATGTTATATTATATAATAACTTAAAACGTTTCGCTGAACTATTGGCACCTATTAATAGTTGTAGTAGAATTATAATATAAGATTTATTTTTTCTATTCCAGGATCAGGAAACTACCTTGTTAATTACATTCATGGAACCCGAGACTTAGAAACAGCAGTACTCAAGATAATTCTTGGTAAGTAAAGATATTTTTTTCTATTCCGGCATTCTGCTTAACACAATGATTTCAATGGAACACTTATTAAACACTCATAAAGTAAGAACGCAAGCAAACAATTAATTTGAATCATTACAACAATTTGCAGTTTTTTTTTCACTAATGCATAAGTCCTTCATCAGGATTCTACTTTTAAAGAACTCTATAATTTTTGCCAGTATATATATACTGTCAGTTTGTTTATATAGTAGGACAGGATTAAGTGTAACATGTGCCGCTAGATGTTACATTGTTTATTTTATAGAATTGTTTCTTCATCGTTTAAGTTAAATAAATATTTGAAATTATTACTCACAAGAAACAAATACTTTTGTTAGCTTGTAATCGGAATTTTAAAACAGAGAAAATAAAACGGAAGCTTATTCTATTGAATTTTACCCACAAAAATTTAAAATGTTAACCGCAGCATCCCTGGTTACCGTTATTAATGATGGTAATAAACCTCCCGGTATACCCTTATCAATTTTAGTCACCAATCAAAAAGAAGGTGTTTGTATTGAAGTCATCATAGGTTTTTTAGTAAAATACAATAATGCACCGCAAGAATGCCACGGAATGCAGTCAAAATCACCTACATTTTATTCAAATATTTTCGGTTTAAAATACACTTCACTGATGATAAATAACGGTTGACGAAGCTTTTCATTCACAAATAGTGATAAAAAAGAAAGTAGTTTATGCATACTATATGTATACGTTATAATCATATCAAGTAATAGTAAAATTAGGTTTGTAACAATGAGTCAGCGTTCGTGATTTTATCAAAGTTTAACTAGGATTAGTAAGATTTTCTTGACCTCAAAAGTGCATAGTCACATAAACAATTAATCGGGTTAATTTACAACAATACTGAATGAGTATCTATTCTTTTTCTCGTGAGATTTGTAAAAAACACATTCACATATTCAGATTTACTTTAAATATCAAGATATTGGTAAGTTTTACTGCATATGTTCATGTTTGTTTTGTTATTTTATTTTAGGGGATCATCATATGTCAAACGTTGTAAGTTTACACCAGGGTAGAAAGTTGACGTGTTATGCCAGTTTGTTGGTTGAGTTTGGACTGATTGGAAACATGATGCATGATTGTGAAAAGTTCCGATGGTTGGGTCCCAGTAGATATAGTGGTGCGTACCTTTTATAAATCACACATTTTGTAACAGTTGTAAGAAATTATAAGATCATGACATGTAAGGTTTATAATGTGTTTTATCGCTTTTCAAACTTCCTCTATTTATTATTGATGAAAGTCCGTGAGACTTCTCACATTTAACGTTATAAACATGACGCATCACAAGGTTTAAGAAATTATGATGTTTAGAGAAAAACAGCGGTGTTTTATGAAAAAGAAATAGAAGCAAAATAGAAGCAGTCAAGACAAAACAATAAGACAAGCGTATCGATCATTTAATTATAATTTATATAATATATATTTTAATGTTACAGTGGTCCCCATCACAACTTTAGCAAGGAGAAAGCCGGTTGATGTTGAAATAGAATATATGCCTGAAGAACCAAAGAAAAGTAGTCCTATGACAACGTCAAAATACCTACGCCAAGTTTCACTTCCGGCAAATAAATACTCGGCACGATTCTTCAAACAAAGACTGTTTTCAATGCCGGAAGACTATGACTCGGATAAGAAAAATGGTAAGTTATAAAAAAACGTATTTTTGATTTTAGTGAGCCTTTTTAATATTTAAACAAACTTAATATATTGAACACGATTTTAAAAGAGAAACAAATGCATTATTTATTTAATTCATTTTAGAATCATTGAATCGTTGTTCTTAAATCCACCTTTTATTATTTTAGATTGGAAGAAATTGGACGGAAGGGTATACGGAGTTGACACATATGTTGTTACACAGAAAGAAAAGGACGGGTCTCTTTTCCCTCGTTTCGGTGACCACGCCCTTACAATGTGGGTTACAGATAAATGTGGCATAGGAGAGCATGTTGACCAACTTACAAAATTACAAAAGGCACAAGCAGGATATGTAAGTATTTTATGTTAAACTTCACGAAAATTTTCTCAATGAACTTTTGTCCTATATTTAAATTATAAATTAGACTCTTGATAACCTAGATTATTTTACATTTCAAAATATTCAAAAGTGTTTTGAAATAATTTTAGTACGTAGTATTGAAAATACCAAAATCATAATAATTATCTAAAGTCATATGTTGTTTATCATTATACTCGGTTCCTATGATATCAAGGGTTCTATGATATCAAGGTATTTAAATTTTCTGTGACTGCTAGTAAAAGCAACACATGATGACGCTAATATTTGTAAAACTTGCACACTAGATTCATTTTCATCTGCCAATAAATTTAATTTGGTGAATTATGAATGTATTTGTAGCAAGAAAACACTATTTTATAAAACCTTCATATTTAGCTACCATTTTCCTAAATGGTTTTTACACAGTCAATTAAAATATGTTATAAACACATATACTGACATATAGTCTGTTCATATAGTTTTAATTTTATAGCAAGTTAACTATTGGATGTTTTTCACAACTTAACTTGAAAGTTTTGACCCATCTATCCTTCCATACTTGCTTTTTTGGGGATTACCTTGATACCGTAGTAACCTCCTCTGAAATTACCCAAAATGGCAGACATTTAAAATATTCTAAAAAATGTCATTTTTATTGGTTCTTTTGAAATATTTTTTTGACAAACAGTTCTAAAAAAGGTTCAATTATAAGATGGAAGAAAAATCTCATTCATTTATGATATTTATATTTAAATATTTTCCGATAAACGTTAAGTACCATGATATCATAGAACCCCGGGCTATATGGTTATCATAATACAATTGTTTATTTTTATACATGTATATATATTCAAAGACAATATAATATGTTTCTGTTTTTATTTCCAGCTTGACTATGATTTTATCCGGACAGTTCGAGCGTCAAGATACCGTGTAAGATTGTCTACAGCAAGTTCTACCATGGATGGTAACGGAGAACGGCATTTAGACAAGAAATTTTACATTAACGCAGACGGCGAGGCGATTAAGTTAGACACACCAGAGTTTGAGGTCAGACTTCATCAATGCTCAATGCCTATCTACGGTAAGATTGATGGCTGAAAACTTTCCCCAAGATCGCTTTGTACACTATAGGTACACCTACGCAATATCAGACACTGCTTTTAAGCCCCCTGCATACAAGTGCCAAATATACAACACATAAAAAGTGATGGAGGGAGAGAAGCATTATGTCGAGGGCGGACTTGCTACACTATCCTGGAGTGAAGTACTTATACGTGCAGCAAGAAGGAGAAGTTACAACATTGGAGACGACGACGATGTAACATTACAACATTACGCAAAATGTCTGTCTAAAGCAGACAATTATACGACTAAGCGCGCATTTATGCGTGTTATATTAATGATATTACCTATACTTTATTGTAGGTATATTTTAGACGCGGCACATCATGTAAACGTGCCTAATGGTATACAAACGACCTTCTTATTTCAAGAAGTGAAACGCACAACACATATCGTGTTGTAAGTTAGTAGTTTCAGTATTTTATTATACATTTATTTATTGATGTACTATATATATATTTATTTATTATACTTGACGAGGACTTCCGGTCTCGATCACAATCAACGTTTGACATTTGTCAATGATATAACTATATTCTTTATAAACGCATGTGTTTGTGATTACCTTTTATTTATAAGTAATATTGGTTGTTATAATGTACGAATAGTATGGTACAGTATATGTTTTATTTTGTTAACGTTTTATTATTATTATATATATATATATATATATATATATATATATATATATATATATATATATATATATATATATATATATATATATATATATATATATATATATATATATATATATTGTGTTCACTTTACGATGATTATATATTGTGCTTATTGAATAAAAAATGAACTAAAAATGAATGTTTTCTTCCTTTGATCACATCAGACATCAAATGAAACAGCTAAAATAGTTAAGGTGTAAGAATACCACTCATAACGAAATTAATTATCCATTTAATACGTCAATCACATATTGCGGTCAGTTAATTTTTTTTAAAAATTCCCCGAAACAATGAACTGTTCAAAAGCAGACGTAAGAAGGGATATTTTAATGGTAATACGATGATTAGAAAATACTAATGATCGTGTCAATATCGGTATTACAGGTTTAATACAGTGGTGATATTAGGTACATACTTTGTATAATTGGGTACACCGTTTACAGTTACATAAAAGATTTGATTATTATTTTTTAAATCTTGTTGCCTACCCAAGTTTATGACATCCGCTATCGCCTGAAATAAGATGTGCTCGTACACATTCACTTATATTCATTTACGCTTGTTAGTTTGGCGACCTTAAAGGATCCCATTTTCTCTATTCCACTTAAACATGAAAATGGGGTAAATAAAATGCTATGATACAATGCACGAATACGATTTGTAATTATGATATTAACTGATTGCTTCCATATTTTCCATATCTCTTGAAACTATAGTGCCGAAATTGTACAAGTCAAATACAGTGGAACAATTGTATATATTACACAATATTAGTAATAAAGTTGTGCTTCGTTCGTTTCTATGACAACTTTTACGGCATTAACCAGCACGCCTCCAGATTAATGCTTATTTTCATTTTCACTAAAGAAAGCAATTTACACATTATCAATGACACTTACAACACACGTTAATTACAAAAAGAGGTCAAAATATGCCCTACTGCGTTAGTAACGCAGTAGAAATATAGTTACACATAATGAAAAAATCACTATTAATCGCTCATAACATGTAAATTATTACTTGAATCTTGAATTTTTCTACTTTGCCTAAAATCTTAGTACATTTTTTAAGTTTGATTTATTGATATATTTTGGCTCATCTGGATGCATGCTGCTTCAAGAAACAATAGCCAATTGTAATAACCTGCTGTGCGAGAAGTGTCCGCTTTAACGACGTGTTACCGAGATTTTAGGGTGGTTTTTTTTTTGGTTGTTGTGCCATCATCAACATAATGCTCGTTATATTCTTCATTTTCTTATCATCTTGTCAACCATTTTCTGTAGTCCGGAGAGGGTTTATAGATTCAATCCTAATATACTAAAATAGATCTGTTTTTCCCCTGCTTTTATGCAAAAAGAACATATATTGAAAGTTACGGTAAAAATACATATAATATACGATTGTATTACATTCTGGGATGATGCCTCTAACGTATTAATTTACAAAAAGATTTCGATCAGCTTATTATTAAAATATATATTACATAGGGTTGATATGTGACGTATGAAAATGACTGAAAAATCCTCTATGTTCAGAGCTTATATGCTATAACTAAATAACTAAAGATTATCGTCTGGCAAATTAGCAGATGTGAACAAATTAATACTTTGATTGTATCTCTGGTATCTGTACGTATGTAATGAATATCATACTGTTTAACATAGACGAATAAATGCCATACCTTCATATATTTTAATGATATATAATTTTATACAAGAGGCAGCATTAAGGACCATTAATGAACTATTCGAGTTACTTTATATCTGGCAAGTATGACCCTGGCTTTATATAGTATATAACGTAATTAAAAGGACACAAATCCTAATTGAAACTTTGAAACCACCTTATTTCTCAGCTGTTATAAAACAAATACCCAAGCTTTTTAGAACAGCCAGGTAAAACGGTTGTTACACAACAGAGCATCGTAAGAAGAAAGTGTGACATATTTTCATTTTCAGTTGTCTCCCTTTGCCTTCATGTTTGTATTGATACATGTACTAAACTGTTCACAGGCGGTGTTTACCAGGTGATCGCTGTCAGTGTCATATGAAAACAAATCATTCATCATTTCGAGATAGTGTTTATCAGGTATATTTGCTTAACATCATGTGACGTGTAACAGAATTTATGTTCTTGAAATAAAAGATGCGTGTACCTTCTTTCACGTCCCTACAATCGCCTTAAAATATAAAACATTCAACAATATAAGCATTAGAAAAATTTGTCAATGTGGTACAATAATGTATAACAAGAATGAGAGAGTGTACACTATGTGATTTAAAAATGAAATATCAATAAAAGATAAAAAAAATAGGTAATTAAGATATCAAATGAAGCCGACAACACTACCTTTTGTTTCCTGTTGACTGACGCTTGTTAGTGCAGGACACGTTTGCCAGTATATTTCTGTCAAACATTATTATATCAAGTGAGTATTTCAAGAGGTGATACTGTCACTGGCCTTCAAGAACTGCAGTCTACCACAATGGTCTTCCTACAATACCGCTTTGATACTGTCATCCGCCTTTTCACTCCTCCCTCTCTAGTATTAGCAACAATGTGTGAGATATTACCATCTATAATGAAAATGTTTAATGCCACTTTATCTCCATTTCCCCTAAACATTTTATTCCTTGCAGACATAGCAAATTAATGAAATGTAATGAAATATTTCATATCGCCTCTAAAATTGTAACATTTTACTATTAAAATATGTATGTCTGGAGACCTAAAGAAACAAAAACTATTTCATCTATACTCGGTATGGCAAATGAGTATTTTTCTGAAATAGTTTATGAGAAATAAAAATGATAGCATTTTTGAGGCATAATGGGCCTTTAATGCTAAACATCTAAAATCTAATGTTTATATATAGAAGTTTATATATAGAATATAAGTGATGTAAAAAATATCATGTTATTATCATGCAATTTATGTTCCCGATTTTATCACATTATGCAAATTATTGTCAATTCATTTTTGTTTATTCATGTGTGTTACAGATATATGACATTCAGTTAATTAACATATCGGAGTTTGACTTATTTGAAGTAAATGATAAACATTTGACTTATTTGAAGTAAATGATAAACATTTGACTTATTTGAAGTAAATGATAAACATTATTTAATATAAATTGAGTAACAGATTTAGACTTCATTGAAAGCAATACCATTAACAAAAAGACACCAAGGACGTGTGAAAATTGCTTATAAAATTATGAACTGAACTGAACGAAAGAATGTTATTTCGAATGTTCAGTTCATAATTCTATATATGTATATATCTTAACAAAAAAACAAACAAACAAAAATACAACGAATGTTAAGCGCTATATTACAACTGCATTAATATGTCCCGTACTAATATTTCAGAGTTGTAAAAAAGCGTTTGTTCTATTCCGTGTATATGAATTTTACATTTGTTATATGTCCGCTTCAAATATGAAAATTATATTTGTTATATGCCCGTTTATATGAATATAAAAACAGTCACATACCTTTTCATATGAATATAACTTTTGTTATATGTCCCTTTATATGAATTTTACATGTGTTGTATGCCCGTTTTTATATGAATATTATATTTATATGAATATAACATTTGTTATGTGCTATTTTTTATATAAATATTGTATTTGTTATATGTCAGTTTATATGAGTATAACATTAATCATATGTCCGTTTATATGAACATTGCATTTGTTAAATGCCAGTTTTTATATGTATTTTACGTTTATATGAATATTACATTTGTTATGTATTTGCTTATATGAACATTACATTTTATATATACCATTTATATTATAATTACTATTGCTATATGTCCGTTAATATGAATATTGAATTTGTTATATGCCCATTTATATGAATATTACACGTGTCACGTGTCCGTTTATATGAATATAACATTTGTTATACATGATTGTATGTCCGTTATATGACTATGTGACATTTGTAATATATCCTTTTTCATGCGAATATTACATGTGTCATATATTTGTTTGTATGAATACTGCATTAATCATATTTCCGTTTAATAAGTATTACATGTACAAAAATCAATAACTATACAATTGATAGCAGTAACATACCAAAACGGGTCATTTTTCAACATTTCGAAATAAAATAAAATCATTTCTGCATATACATGTACTACATGTATATCAACAAAAGGAACATAAGTCACATATTTCTTTATTAACAACACACCAGAATAAACAAGTTAAATGTTATCAGACTCGGCCTTAAAGCTACAGTCTCACTAACATCCCGGCAGAGCCCCGGTAGACGTCCGGGTGATCCTGGAACGACCGGGAACAACCGGGGTACATCCGTAACTCTGCCGGCACGTCCGGCATGATCCGGGAACACCCGGCATTCGACCCCGGATGGAATGAAATATTTAATATTACCGGGGTGGTCCGGGATGATCCGGGAAGTATAGCTTTGCCGGCTTCATCCTTAGCTCTGCCGGGAACGACCGGGGTCACACCGGGGAAGCACCGTAGCTCTGCCGGCACAAACCGGGGATGATCCGGGGTATGATATAGCCGGAAGAGCTACGGTAAAGCCCCGGTGAATACTGGCAGAGCCCCGGTGAATGCCGACAGGGCCCCGGAGGATGCCGGCAGAGCCCTGGAGGATGACGATGGATCTACGGTTGATCCCGGTAGAGCCCCGGCAGAGCCCGGTTCATTTCAAAAGAATCACGACAATTTGCGATGATTGCAATTGTTTGTATTAAAACCCTTCCAATTTCCCTTCTATCCAGTCTTGCATAAGGATTTTTTCAGAAAATCATTATGAATTACTATTCTGGAACAATAGATATTATATTTAATAAAAATTACGTATCAATGTAATCATTTTCACTCGTTTTCAATCCACCGGGGTTCTACCTGGATCGTTCTGGGCTCTGCCGGGGCTCTGCCTGTAATGACCTTGGCTCTGCCTGGGTCAACCGG